AGCCACCGTAGGCAGTGTCAGACTGTCAGTACCTAAGCCAAGTCTAGACTAGCCTTTGTGTCACTCCAAACTAGTCCGGAACCGAATGTTTCCTTGGAGCCACCCCAGGTAGTGTCCTGCCTAAGCTAACTCTAGACCAGCCTCTGTACCTATCAGGTATAGACATGAATGAGCATAGTATGGAGGGGGCACTTGGCAACGTTATCAGTCCATAACCACCACTCAACTTCGCCACGGGGCTGATTCCTGCCAGGGAAAACCTCCAGCCCATCGCCCCCTGCACCCCTCCTGTCAATTATGAGGTATGAGTTATGTGCTATGTGTATTGGAGTTGAACCCGGGACCTCCAAGTCACGATATCAGAGTTCTACCCACTGAATTATTGAGGTTATTCGTCTGTAAAGGTGCTATGCCAGGCTTGGGGCAAGTACGTGGGGTGCAATCAACACCAACCCATTGTGCTCGAGGGAAATTGCGGGCTGACAAAGTCGAACCCGCAACCTCCCAATTGCAACACCAGAGCTCTGTCCACTGAGCTACCACAGACTTGCTTCTTACCAACTGGCCGTCTCGAAGCTAAGACGCCAAGCATGCCACAGGCACTATCGTGGGGGCAATGGGAGTTGAACCCGCGACCTCCTGAGTGCCGCTTGAACGCCTTACCAACTGAGCTACACTCATCTCAATTATGTCATAATAAAGGACGTTGGGCCCGGTTCCCAGCATGTGGCATACTGCGTAGCCACACGGGCCCTGCAGGGCCCGTCCCGGACTTTCAGCCTAAAAGCCTAAAACTTAGGGCTTACAAGCCCCGGTCGTTTCAGCCTGAAAGCTGAAAAACGAGGGCCTGCAGGCCCTACTCCGTTTCAGCCTATTTCTGGGTCTTTCAGACCCAGAGGTTTTCCAGCCTGAAACAGAGGGCCTTTTTCAGGCCCTCATTGTTTCGACCACCCCTGAGACTCAGGCACGAATACAGGGTTTCGGAACAGGCCAGAAATAGCCTGTTCGTCACGAGCTTGAGCAGGAGCTGCAGCTGCAGCCCCTGCCTCCCTTCGGCATTGGCAAGAGCAGCCTCTTGGGCTGCTCGCACGAGTCAGGAGGCACACCTGGTAGTACATAGGAAGTTCCCATGCACTTCACGGGTAGGTAGTTGTCAGTAGGCACGGGTAGTCTTCAGGATTCGGCCGCAACACTCAGTAGGAGCGCTGCAGTAGTCTTCAACGCTAGGCAGTAGTATTAGCGCTAGCTGTAGTCTTCGGCGCTGGGCGCCCATAGCCATAGAGTAGTCTTCAGCGCTGGGCGCTGCTAGGTGGTAG